CGTGTCAAAAGGACAACAAATATTAAAAATTCCGTTGAGAAATGTTGTAAGAAGGTTCACATACGTTATGTGACCTTTCTAGTCTCTCTATATTCTCTTTTGCCCTTTGTCCGATGAAGACTACCCACCTGCAGGAAATTGACCGAATCCATCCTGTAATTTGGGTATAGCATCAGTAAGCTATTTCTAACAATATAATGCTAACATATCCGCTCAAGAAAGAATTCGCGGACATTACTAGGTGGATGAAATGTCGACTAAGAATTCTACGGAATGTTGTTTAATTAGTAGATTTTTATAAAATATTGGTTCATCTGATTGCACTTCAGTCCGTCTATCAGTGGACTTTAACTGATAATCAGGACGAAACTCGAATGTTAGAATCTGGTTGTGTTGTTCGTAAGTTGCTAAAAGTACGTTCGACGCAGGTTCAAGTTCTGCCCATTAGCAATGAAACCGGATGTTTACCTAAGCTATGAGGACACGCTTTGTTTGCTCTCTTCGGGGAGTTTCAGCGTTTTGGGACTGTTTTCACATATCTGGCCTGTTTGGTGGAGAGAACTTGGACGGTTCGCCTTACTTTCTGTCTATGAACAAGAGCTAGGTAATTTTTCAAGGAGATGGGCAATCAACAATAAACACAGGCATACAGAGAGTTTTGGGCATATTTGACGTGCTATTAGCGAGGAAGCCAATAACTGGAGGAGACAACTACTTTAGAAAAAAAGACCCTTTCGTGGTTGGTATTTTTGAAACATTGTTTTCTTGGAAGAAATGTGAACAAGGCAAAGATCACGAGACTAGCAGAATTTATTGACGTCACATAATTTTGCGACCTCTTATTCAACCGCAAATGCTCATTGCCTATCAAAAAGATGAATTCACTGTCCGATTAAGTATCGACCTAGAAGGCTGAAAGCTGATAGGTAAATAGAGTAGGAGCTATTAGTATTAGATGTGGGCGCATGGTGAAGGGGATGTAGTTGTCACAGCAAGGTAGTTCATGTTACAGTGAAAGCCTGTCAATCGGCATTAAAAGGGGGAGAGGGGGGCAAAGGACGGAGCAGCAGTCGGTCATACAGGGGAGGGAGGAGGCGTGAGAAGGAATGGGTTTATCGATCGTTACCACGGCAATCCGAGGTTGATCACACGATCCAGCTGCTTACAAAGCTCTGGTTTTCTTCTCCGTATTGCAGCGGCCTCTGCAAAGCGTAGGAGACGTCCGGTCGTCGCTCGAAGTACGACCTTAAATGCAGTTCGTTGGTCACCCGTGCGGCCA